AAAGGTATTGTGTCCAATTACAACTAAAAAAAAAAATATATATATATATATATATATATATATATAAAGAATGAAACCTGAACCAAAGCAGCAAGAACCAATTTTTCATCTACCGCTGAGCCACAGCCCAGCCCTGTAGAAGTGCTTTTAACGGCACAAGACTGAAGACAACACAAACACTCTCCATTAGAGGGCTGAGCCAAAAATTTATGACATGCAGAAAGAAAAACTTACAGCCATAAAACTAAGGAACATGTGCAGCTCTGCAGAGACCCCCAAGTACAGTTATTAACTGAACAAAACAAAGTCTAGATAGCATATCCCCTTTTTGAGGTGATGGACAATTGGTGTTTGTTTGTTTGTTTGTTTGTTTTGGAGTGCTGGGAATCGAACCCAGGGCCTTGAGCATTTTAGGCAACCACTCTACCACTGAATCACACCTCTAGTCAACAATTGTTAACTATACCCAGAAAATTTCTGGAAAAGTCAAACAAGAAATCGCCAACATTTGGGGCCTCAAAGCAGGACCACACTGAGAATTTTCCTATACAAAAATGAAAACTCAGGGCCCTGGGTTCAAACCTTGCTAAGAATTTCAAGACATGGCAGCAGAGTATTAAACCAGGCACAGAAACTTCATGAACATGGGCACCATGAGACATGCTGATGGAGCCTAYGGAGCCAACCTGGCTCAGGGGAAGGCAGCTAGAGTGACATGGTCAGAAAGGGCAGAGGAATCATTCTCTCTAGAGACCCTTTTGAACCATATTAAGTTATCAGCATGTGCCTGTGCTGATTTTCCAATTATTAAAAGAAATTACTTTAGAAAAAATAAAACTAAATTCTTTACTGCTATTGCACACGCGCGTGCACGCGCACACACACACACACACACACACACACACACACTCACACACCAAAAACAGCCCTTATTATCCCTTTCTTATCCAATAAGAGGTACAATCCTAGAAATGTAGGTGAGGAAGAGGCAGGGTGGGGTGGGAGGTGGAGCAGAGGGGCTCTTCCTCTGGAGGAATTGTGCTGCAGCTGGGAAACCCCAGGTTAGACCCACAGGGAAGTTGAACTGGACACACATTCCCCTCARTGTGCACTGAGCACATTAAGACTGTCTGAAAACATTCCCGTGCCCACAGGACTGGGAGCTCAGCCGGGAAGAAGCTCATCCAGTACATAAGTCCATCCAGCCCCACACAGGCTAACAGCATCCCCCACACATTCACATCCACCGGCACCTCAGAAAGTGCGCTCTGTTTGCAGTTGTCATCAGTTACGATTAAGGGTAAGTCCTACTCCACTGATGTTGTCCTTACAGGAAGGCTGTTGAAGACACAGAGGCCTCAGGGAGACTCRATGTGAGGATGGAGGCAGGGCTGGGAGCCCCATCTCCCCAGCCAAGGAGGGACAAGGACTGCTCACAAAGGCAGGAGCTGGGAGAGACAGAGGCAGACTGTCCCTCAGACTTGCAGAATGAACCAACCAGCAGCAACATCTGGATCTCAAACTCCTGGCCTCCAGAACTGCGGGGAATACATCTCTATTATCTAAGCCACCAGCCTTGGGCCACTTTGCTACAGGAAACTAACATAAGCCCCACAAACCAAACAATTCGTGCTTCAAGTCAGAGGTGTGAAGACCCTTCTGTGAAAAGTCAGACGATAAACACTTGTGCCCTGTAAGTGCTCTCACTGCTGTGCAAATCTGTCCTGGTGCGAAATCATCCATGGGCAATTGGCAAGTGAATTCCTGTGGATATGTTCCACCAAAACTGCACTTACTGAAGCTGACAGCGGCAGAATGTGGCCCTCACCCGCTTGATGACAGGTGGTTTCGATGAAAAGCATAATAAAGAAAACCTACACCAAGAACCAGCGGCTCTATGCAGCATGAGGAGAAGAGGGGTTCAGATGCCTACCCTGGCTCCAGCTCCCAGAAGCAGCACACTCTGAACAGCCTCCTCCACTAGGCAGACCTTGTCCCCATCCAAGAAGTGACTGAGGTGGCTTAGAGGTAATTTCCAGTCCTCACATTCTAAAGTCCTTTGATTTGTTAAGTGTTCCTTTTCAATAATTTGATTTATTAAACACAACTTGTATACTCTGATTACAGTTTATTTTCTGAAATAAACTATTAATGTATAAAATAAAATTGCTATTAAAAATCAAAATGTTCCAAACAGTTTTTAAACTAACTATATTCACACAAATTTTTCTGCTACCTACAGTAAGGTTGCAGTTCTATAAATCCCATCTTTATAAAAGTGGAAACTTACCACACATCCATGTGGGTGCACACTTATCAAAGTAAGATAGAATTCCTTCTAACTAAATGCACATTTTAGTAGAATGAATTGGACATCACTTTCCCACGTTCATATATGAATACAAGACCAGTGAAACTCCACATCATATGCAACCACAAGAATGGGACCCTACTTAGAGTAAGTTACACTCCATGTATGCATAATATATCAAAACACGCTCTACTGTCATGGACATCTAAAAAGAACAAATAAAATTTTTAAAAGCTTCAGAAAATAAATGTACATTCTGTTTGAAAAAAATGACCTCAATTCTTCAAAATTAAATAAGGAACCTAAAATAACCCCAAAAACCTTCTGAATCATCGTGCATGTTATTGTTTCTACCATTTTCTAACTCAGTCTTAAATATGGATTGTTCACAGTGGATCTGATACTAGGCAGTGGTTGGTAGAAATAGATGGTGAATTGACCATTGGGAATTGACCATTGACCATTGAATGATTTCTGATAAACATGCACAAAGAAGGATTTCCACAAATCCAAATACTCACCCCACAATACTGCTCTTCATTGAAGATCTGGGGGGGCAAAGGAATCCCATTCTGAGGTTTTTTCTCCCCAGGAACATTCTCTCTCATCCACCGCCTGTTGTCTTCGTCTCCAGCTATGTCTAATTCCTTAAAGTCGATTTTATTCGCCTCCAAAAAGCCCACCACTTCTTGCTGTTTCTTCCTAATCTGGTCAAGAGTAGTGAAAAATATTTTTAAATTGTTTTTTAAAAAATATTTTGATGATGTTTACATAAAATAAATCCTTTCTCTAGCTACCCAGACAACACCAATAATTTTATAAAGTATTGAAATGAGGAAAACCAAAAATCACACCTCTGCATTATAAAGGATCCATGGTGACTGTTTAAATATTGAGGTTTTAATATCATCAAAGTTTAAATCATTGTCTAATCAACCTAACTGGAACGGAGGTGTTCTCATATCTCTCATTTGCTGTATTTCAAAATACTTATAACTCAAAGCTTGAAATAGCCAAAACCATAAACAAAAATTAGCTAGGAAGAGACCTGAATGGGAAAAGAGGAAAGAGAATACAGGGGCTCGGTGGCTCAGTGGTGGAGCGCTTGCCCAGCACTGCTGAGGCCCTGAGTTCAATCTTCAGTACCACATAGAAATAAATGAATAAAATAAAGCTATATTTAAAAAAGAAAATGGAAAAAAGATAATTTACTATGAAATGCAAAATCACGCGTTCTACACTAACGTGCGTTTCGTTCAAAGTTATGAAAACAGGAGTGTGAGTCACACTGAGCTGGAAGTAACATTAAAAATAACACCAGAAATTGAAAAGCCCGCGTGGAGAGGCTGGAGGGCAGAAGGCAGGACAGAAAGGCTGGAGTATGTTTCTCCCAGCACGTAAAAAGGTGGCACAAAAGAGGGATGCTTCTCTCCCACCCTATGGGACTCGCTGTTCTCTACCACCGGTGTGCAACAACTGTGTCTCCCAGCAGCTATTTCTTGTCAATGTGACCATCTTTAAAGATCAGAGCTCCTTCCCCATAAGTCATTACTACTATTTCTCTCTTCAGTCTGAGAAGTCACTCCCAGAAATGAACGATACCATTTTTTATGAACACTGTAAATAAATTACAGCTGACTCTGTGGACGCCATTTTAAGAACCCCAGGCATAAACCTCCAGCAAGTGTGATCAATTGACAGTTATCAACTCTACTCTGCACAAGATGCTGTGCCAAGCCCTTCTGGTAAAAAGATTCTTAAACTGCTTATTTGGGAGGAAAAAAAGTACAGAACTAATTTGTACACTATAGATGTAGAACACACTCAAGATACTASAGAGGCATAAATATGGTCACTTTTTGAAGGAAGATTAACATTTAAGTATGAATTTTCTTTGACACAAAAATATCTAATATCTGAATTTTTGTAAAAGTCTTCTGAATAGACTATTATCTCATAATGAAAACAAGTCATTAAAACTGTTTTATAGGACACAAGGGCTCCTCATCACCTTCATGTGACTTGTTTATCAGCAGGACTAGATTTGGAGGATTCAAAATAAATGAGGTAAAAGATGAGGTAAATCCAAACCCGTTTTGTCTAAGCCAAAATCCTTTCTAAAAGACCTATATACCTGTCCCCCCTCAAAAAAAAAAAAAAGAAAAAAACACCAATTTTATTTTTTCTTGCCAACAATGAAGGACTATCAATGACTCCTGGGTGGTGTATTCCTTATTTAATACAAGAAAAGTAAGACACATATAGATGCTTAAGCCCTGGAATAAAATCACCACTAAAACAAATTATACAAAGTACCATAAAATAATTTGTATATAGAATTTGTTTGGGATGGTCATTTGATTTTACATATAGTAATATAAAATATAGATTAATAGTAAATAATATTTTTAATTATTAGAAAGTAAACATATACAAATTATATGTAAATTGTCATGTATAAATTACACATATAAATGTGCATTTATATGTGTAATCCTGCATTTAATTTTTCATTAATATCTGTACCATCAACATAATAAAGATATTTGGACTAAAATCATTACATTGATAAATTAAAGGCTGCTACTAGCTACAGCACAATACCTACAAGCACTAAGACTCGAGCCAAGGTACATTTAAGTTCGGGACAAGCATGGAAAAAAATTGAGAGAAAGTGTTAAACAAAGGAATTCCTTTTAATCTATCTGTATAAGAAGTCTGGAGACTCCTGAGTGACCCCCATAAGGACAGAGAGGGAGCTGCCCCCTACCAGCCACTGGGCTACAGTAACCCTGACCTTCTCCTCTGCAAGGAAACTGTGCTCCAAGCTCCACAGCTTCATAGCTGGATTTTTGGATATTACAAAATCCCATTGGACCTGATGACAGGTTGTTAGTCTAAATCATTATTTTAATTAATTATATTCTCCATACATCCTTTCCAGCCTGTCCATAATTGTGCCGTTTTATGAATATCCCTCAGATATTTTCAGAGATAACTTTGCTGTTTGAAAAGTAGAGATGTCTTCACTTTAGGCAAGTTTGCTTTTAATAAAACACACAGAAGGCAATCTCCTTTACCCAGACCCTGCCTGCCCTTCACCCGAAACCCCCTCACCAACATTATGTCCCTGATATTTTACCCCRTGATTCCTGAGTAGGTGAAGCATTTCCAAAAGTCCTGGCTTCCACTTCTCCAAGAAAGTCGGCACATGGAGTAGATGGAAGGGGCAACCATGCTCACTGTCCTCCGCAGGACCAGCAGGGGCCTCCAGGAAAGTTAAGTGACAGGCAGAAACAGCGCTCTGTGCTAAGTGCCATTTCTTAGTACCCTGTCCCCGCTCCCCAAAAAACAAGGAGAAACTTGAACTGTTTGGCTCCAGACTCCCTAAACACCATTCAACTGGCTCATGAGGCTAATAGGAGCACTGGAGTTGTGCCTGGGCTGGCAACCTCTGGAGAAGGGTCTAGCTCAAGCTCAGAGGAGGGATAAGGGGAAGGGGAACACGTGGGGCCACCTGGCTGGCTCTGTCCCGTCTGCCACAGCCCAATGCCCTGCCTCTAGGGTGGGGTCCCTTCCCCGAAGGTCCCTGATGGAGGAGCCCCTCCAGCCTTCCCAAAGTGGGGCTCTTCTCATACAGCCTCCTGAGCTGACCCCAGAGGCACAGCATCATCCAGAGGGCTCCTCCCCATCATGGCCTCCAGGGGCTCACTATTGGGCCATGAGCACAGCAGTCCAAGAGTTGTCACCATGGACCCGCTCTCCCTCTCCACCTCTCCCCACCCTTCAGAGTGCCATGGGCCGATGCTGGCTCCACAGGCTGCGCCATCTGTCCTGGGTAGCAGCTTTCAGGACCCGGGGATACCTGGGGCCAGTGTCATTACTTGAAGCCTTTAGCAGAGGCTGAGAGCTCTGTGTTCCTAGCATGTCACATGTACTCATAAGAAAGGTCTGTTCTCCRTCCTGAAGACTTCTGCCACCATAAGTCAGCTAATGTGCTGGAGCCATCTGACTGCGGCACCTCTTCYTGCCACTCACTTGGCACCCCCTGCCTATTGTCTTGTACAGTTAGGAGCCTTTCCACTGAGGTCACTGTACTGTAGTAAAAAGCCCGCTGAGTTTGAGTCACAAAAGCCTGCGTTGCCATCCCAGACCAGACAGTGGCTATCCAAGCAAGAACTGAGGTCTGTAATTTCCTCACCTGAGAACTGGGGTGATTTGGAAAATCCTTGAGGGGTGCTGCTGGCGGATCTAGTAAGATGACACATGGAAAAGCACCGAATACTGCAGGTGTCATACCGAGGCTCCATGAGTCAATGAATTTTCCAAGGTTTACACCCAGRTCGATCTAATTCAAGAGTCGTGTTTCTCCCACCATATTTGCACTATTGATTGAGATGCACATTAAGAAACCCAGGAGTCCCCTGGAAGATCTACCCTTAAAGTCCATGATTCCAGGGACTGTGCACCTTGGAAATAGCAGGGAAAATCCTCTCTCCTTTTGTCCCCATGCCCCACCAAGGCCAAGACCTTCAACAAGAGAAGAGGTCACATAAGAAGACACCCGCCTTCTGCTTCCCCATCGTCCATGACCCAAACCCCTTCAGGATGTGATAAAGAGTGTCACAGTTCCTTAGAGCCAACCATTAAAATGGAGCTTTAATACACAGTGGCACGAATTCAATTCCTGGAAGAGACTGCAGTTTGGTTTTTCCTTCTTCATTATTTCATTCATCCAGCAGAAGTCAGAATGCCCTGTCTGACTAGGTGAGAGGCAAGATCCGTTGTTTAAACTCCTGTGTGGGAGAAGTGAGTGGAGGCTCTGCAGAGAGCGCAGCCCACGTGCAGCCTGAGCACAAGAACTGCTCCCGGGCTCTCCTACCAAGCAGCGTTGGGGGGAATTCCCTGTCCACAAAAGTCCAGCTGCACCTACGCTGGGGTAACAAGTTCTCACTCTTCAGGAGGATATCAATTGTCTTAACCGATCATTATAACAGCTGTAATACTAATTAACTAACATTAATTAATAATTACAAAAATTACAGCAGTAATTAATGTAAACTAGCAGTAAGGATATCATTCACTAGTAATCATAGTACTTTTTGAGCACTGATGGAGCACTTGACACCATGCCCGGCACGGAGCATCTTATTTCAGATGCTCTCATGTTGACGCCATGAGGTGGGCACTATTCTTATCCTCATTTAACAGACAAGGAAGTCGAGGCTTAGCAAGGTTAAATGCCTTTCCCAAGGTCACACAGTTGCAAGTGCACTGAAACATTTGCCACTCTGGTGCCCCAGAACTCACTTGGCTTGTCCAAGATCCTGGAATGAATGGCATTCCTCCAAGTCCTCCAAAGCTAACTAAATTATGCTGCCAAATTTCATGAATGTGAGACATCAAATAAACCTAAGAAATTCATAAATTTAGCTGGACGCTGTGGCGCACACCTGTAATCCCAGGCACTCAGGAACCTGAAGCAGGAGGATGGCAAGTTTGCCTGGGCAACTTGGCGAGACCCATTCAAAATAAAATAAAAAAGGGCTGGAGCCAGCTGCAGTGGCACACACCTGTAATCCCAGCAGCTCAGGAGGCTGAAACAGGAGGATCGTGAGTTCAAAGTCAGCCTCAGCAACTTAGCAAGGCCCTAAACAACTCAGTGAGACCTTGTTTCTTTTTTTTTCTTTTTCTTTTTTTTTTTTTTTTTTAGAGAGAGAGAGAGAGAGAGAGAGAGAGAGAGAATTTTTTAATATCTATTTTTTAGTTTTCGGCAGACACAACATCTTTGTTTGTATGTGGTGCTGAGGATCGAACCCGGGCCGCACGCATGCCAGGCGAGCGCGCTACCGCTTGAGCCACATCCCCAGCCCAAGACCTTGTTTCTAAATAAAATATAAACAGGCTGGGGATGTGATTCAGTGGTTAATGTGCTGGAGCCATCTGACTGCGGCACCTCTTCCTGCCATTCACTTGGCACCTCCTGCCTATTGCCCCTGGGTTCAAACTGTGATACCAAAAAAGGGAGAGGGAAGCAGAAATGTAGCTGAGTGGTAGAGCACTCCTGGGCTCAGTCCCCAGTACCAGAAAAAAAATCTCAGAAAATTAAAGAAATCCTTAAATTTACCCCTTGTCTTCTGAATAATACACAGGGCCACATACACCAATTCTACAGAATATATAGATGATGGCAATTAAGTGGTAAACGTTTTCAGCAATGAACATTAATGCATTTAAAGCCCACCAAAGACATTTTCCTCAAATATTATATTTTATCAAAATAATCCAAAATGTACGAGCGGGCTGGGATACAGCTCAGTGTTAGAGCACCTTCCTGGCATGTGTGAGGCCCCAGGTTCCATCTCCAGCATCCCAAAAACAAATAAAACCATACTCATTTTATATCAACTAAAAGTTTCCACAGTCATCAATGACAAAGATTTACTTTTGGAACTTTCCATGTGTAATCTTTATTCTTTTTTCTGTCACCTGCTCCAGAGATCACTGAAACAACTGCGGATCAGTAGTGATCTTTGGGAGTTAGCAGGCCCTTTTCTCTTGCTTTCCTCTCACCCTCTTTGAAACGCCAATGATTCCCCAGGTTGGGAGTGGGGCTGTGACTTCAGAAATCCGAGCTGCAGCCGAAGCTCCTCCAGGAACTAGATATAAAAGGAAACAGCCCCCTCTTGGGGCTCTGACTCTGGGGACTATAAAATGATTTCTTCCCCCAGCCTTCCTAATTCCTGCTAAAACTCGGGTAGAAAGGTCACTCGCAGACAGACACTGCAGTTCAAGCCTATAGTCAAAGCCTGAATCATTCTCAAGGAGAAAGGTGTCTCGGGGTGACCGTGTTTCTTCGGGAAGGTCTACAGTCCGAGTATGAAGGCACATGGGAGGCAGGTGCCTGGGCTCTCGGTACCCAGACCAAGCCAAGGCAGGGAGGTTGGCTCCTATTCCCATATGTGGGCTACTGGAACTTCTAGAGCATTTAAAACTGTGGCCTCAGAGACGTTTGCTCTTGTCACCATGACATCATTTTCCTCAAATAATAGTATTACACTAACTCCACACTTTCTGTGCGGTAACTTCACACATACAAGGAACAATGCTCAAGGAGTCGATTTAGCAATCTGGTCCATCAGACGCTCCAAATAGTTACACAAAGTATCATTATTTCTAACTTTACATTCCTCCAAGTCCTGCAGAATTAATAGCAGAAACACTCCAAAAAAAAAAAAAAAAACTAAAATAAAAGCTCATGATTCTATAATCTATGCAATGGCAACGCACTTAGATCACGTCACCAATCCAAGGCTCCTCCTTCCTGGAATCCCCACACACCTGTCTGGATTACACATTTTACACACTATTTTCAACACTACGAAAACACACACAGAAAGCCATCGGCCCTCAATGCAGATTGCAGTTGACTTACACGCAAAAAAGAATTTAAGGCCAATGCTCGTCCATACCGGCTCCTTCTAATTCCAACCCTGATTTATCCAGAAAATGGTACAGAAAGAAGCACACCCCACAGGTCCCACCGGACACCTACCGCTATGGACCCAGAAGATGTGGCAACAAATACTTTGATAACCATTTCGACAGTCAGAAAGAGGACTCCCTCCAACACACCCCTGTCAGGGAACGGTCGCTAGACAAATCCTGACAGTGACAAGGAGGAGCAAGTGCCAGGTTGAGCTGGCGACTGCCCAGGACTCCCCTTCTGCCCTCCCTCCCCCAAGAGGCTCTGCCTCCCAGAAGAGCAGACAAGCTCTAGGGCTTCCCCCTCCATTGGCCTAGGAATCTTTTGGGATCTGTCAAGAAAATATTTGATTGGTTGATAAAAGCAGCCAGGCCCGACAACAGTCCCTAAAAGGTCAGGCTGTGCCCTGCACCAATCAGAGACCAGTAGAGAAATGCCTGGGGAGAGAGGGTGGGGGCCAGGAACTGGAGAGCAGGGGAGAACAGAAGCAAGGGAGGAGCTCTTTGGAGCCACCAGAAAAGCTCTGAAAACTCCCTCCATCTCCGCCCAGGAGGAGGCTGGGCTCACCAGGCTTTTGGCAAACAAACCAACCGGAAGGGTCAGAATAGCCACAGAGCCCTGTAAATAAAAAGCAGCTTCCCTACTTTAAGATTTTTCTGGCAGATTTTTTAAAAACTCAAATTGTCACACAGTAGAAACTCCTCTATGAATGGCTCCTTTACAGCTCTCTCCCGTCACCACCTGTTTGGCCTTGTAAGGTTTCCTGACATCCGGAGGCTGGCTTGTCAGCAGCAAATTACCTTCACTGTGTTAAAGACTTGAGGAAAAACAATAAATAATCTGTTTACTACAGGCTCTATACCATCTTATTTATGAGGATAATTTGGATTTTGTTAAAAATCAGAAAAATACAAAAGCTAGTGAAGAAGCCCAGGTTAGTGGCCCAAACTCTTTTGATGAGTTTCAAAATCAAGATTAAGGGCATTAGGGACAAAGTGCTCATCTTTCAGGAGGCAGCAGGGGTATTCACCCTTTTTCAAAGCCCTGCTGCTCATAGTGGAGGAGGAGGTCCTGGCCAGGAGCAGGAAGGCAGGCCCTGCTTCTGCACCTGCCCCCCACAGTCCCAGAGGACCTGGGGCCTGCTCCCCTCCCCTCAGGTAGGAGCCTGGGATCAGCAACGACCCTAGGCCCTGGAATCCTGCCCAGAATGATTTCCACCACAGGCAATCTTTGAGGTAATTCTAACAAGACTTAACTTTGGCTTCAACATGCAAAGTTAACTACTCCAAAAATTAGGTCTTTGGTGAAAGTGATCAATGAATTCTCCAAACTTAAGTCTCTAGAAATATAAACTTTATCTTAAATTCTACCAAAGATTATAGATCATTTTTACTTTTCTATGTTTTCCAAATTTCTACAGTATCTACTATTTTTTCCATGCACACAAAAAATTCCAGGTATTCATACCTTAATGTCTATCATATGAACATGGTAATTCTTCCAAGTTTATTAAGAAAGTAGTAAGTTAGGTTTGTTTCCTAATGGTCATGTAAATTAGTAATGTAAACTATGGTTAATATTAGTAACTGTAAGCTATTAGTAATGTAAACTATTCTCYTTCTCTAAAGAATATATATCTCCTGCTCATATTGGGTAAAAGCTGCCTTCAGTAATAACACCCCTCCATCTGTCATCTGCGAGGCTTAGGGAAAAATAAGTTTCCTTCTGAAATAAAGAAGCAGGGAGGTCAGGCAGTCAGTGTACCAGTGATGGGGGTCGAGAGGATAACAAATGGTTATCAAAGAAAGAACAATGGGTTGCTAACAATCTCTGTGCTCCTGTCCTTGGTCATACATACTCGGAGAAAAAAGAGAGGACAAGAATTAAAAAGGGGGGGTTCTGAGATCTATAAGAAAGATAAGACCACCCTCTCYCACGGACACCCAGCTCTGGGACCTCTTCTCTTCAGAGAAGTCAGTCTCTGTCCCTGTCTTAAATAAAGCTTGCTCTCAATGGATAGGGGAACTTTGGTATATATACATAATGGAACATTACTCAGTATTAAAATAAAATAAAATCATGGCATTTGCAGGTAAATAGATGGGAGTTAGAGAATATAATGCTAAGTGAAGTTAGCCAATCCCAAAAAAACCAAAGACCAAATGTTTTCTTTGATATGAGGATGCTGACTCATAATGGCAATGGGGGAGGGGGGCATGGGGGAATGGAGGAACTTTAGATAGGGAAAAGGAGAGGAAGGGGGAGGGAAGGGGTAGGAATGATGGTGGAATGAGTTAGACATCATTACCCTAAGTACATGGATGAAGACATGAATGATGAGAAAACATTTTGGTACAATCAGTGACTTGAAAAATTGTGCTCTATATGTGTGATATGAAATGAATTGCCTTCTGCCATCTTGTGTAACAAAATAGAATAAATAATTTAATAAAAATAAAATAAAACTTGCTCTCTGTGCTTAGCGTTTCTCAGGTGTTTCACTCTTCAACACCAGGGAACAAGACCCATTCCTTATCTCCAAAAACAGCTATCAATATTTAGGTTCTGACTGTATGCCAGATCTGCTCAAATTACTTTGCATAAATCACACCCTTAAGCCCTAAAACTGCTTTCCATTATTATCCTACTCATAGGATTACACATCTAGAGACAATGGTGTTAGACCAGGACGCAAGAAAAGACCACTGACTCCAATTAAAATCAAATTAAAGCAAGCTTATTTTTCGACCAGCCAGGCTGCCTCTCCCACCCAAAACCGCAGGAAAAAGGCAGCAGCCGCACCTTTCCTGCAGCCCAGCTTTTCATCCCAGAAAGTTACACAAAGTGGGGGGGGGTTACAGATGACAGAACTCTGACAAGCATAACACAAATGCTAGTTTACATTTTTGCTGGCCCCGACATCAGAATTTATGAAGGTCATTAGAGCCTCAGAGAGGGTCGTTGTCTGGCCAGGGAAGGCCAAGATTTGTGAGGTGTCACTAAAGTTTCAGAGAGGACTGCTATCTGGTCAGAGAGCCAGGCATGGGTGAGTTCAAAGCACGGCAGGCATTCCAAGCAGGTTCAGAATTTGCAGTAATTTATAGGAAAGCCGAAATTAGCTTTTCATGGCTTTGTGGAGAGATGGCTCCCAATTTTAAGAGAAAATCAGGCTGGGTCTATCAAATGGGAACAGTAATGGTGTATTTCAGACTTGGATCCAACACGGTTCTCTCTACACCACACTAGAGCAGCTTCCAAGATGCCACCCACAAATTCCTAGTGCTCCCTCTCTTCACAATAAATTGTTTATCTTTTTAAAATGAGTGAAAATGTGCAAATTAGAAATTTGAAAACTCTAATTGCCATCTCTCTTCTAATTTATTACATTGACACCAATTCAAGTTAATTAGCAGGAACACCAAACATTCCACAGAAGTCCTAAAGCTCTTTAAGTCTCTGACTTACAAAACCACTTCAGAGGAGCTGTGTAATCCTAAGCATGCAGAGGGCTAGCCGTTCAACGTTTCTAGTACACTCTGTGATCAGACCTAATTTTGATTATAAAATTATGAGGTATTGGCTACAAACTTCACAGAGATCCTCAAATGATCTTACGATAATACCAAATATYGTGTTTCAATTTACTTAACTTTATGGGTAAACCAAAATGGCAAATATAGACGTATGTTTTTCTGTGGAATGATGAAAGGGGTTGCAATAGTAAATATAATGCGATGAAAAATTCATGTTCACCCAAAACCTCAGCATATGACCTTATTTGGAAATAGGGTCTTTGTAGACTACTGAGTTGGGGATCTTGTGGTGAGATCATCCTTACCAGAAGAGAAGGCGCACAGAAAGACAGAACAGATGAGAGGACAGAGATGGGAATCAGTGATGCTGCGTAAGTCCAAGAACACCAGGAACCGCCAGAGCTGGGAAAGGGAGGATTTTCCCTAAGAGCCTTTGGAGGGAGCATGAATTTGCAGACACCTTGATTTAAAACTTCTGGCCTCTAGAATTATGAGATGAATCTCTATAGTTCTAAGCCACCAAGTCTGTGGGGATGTGCTATAGCATCCCTAGAAATACACAGAAATAAAGGCACAAGTTTTTTGTGCAGCCTGATGGAGATGAGCAGCTTAATAATTAAAAGGCCGCTGCTTCATGAATGCCTCCAGGGGAAAGAAGACCCCCTCCAAAAGCAGGAAGCAAAGACTATTCATTCTGAGACAGAAAGATTCAAATGATGATTTTCAGAGCACTCCAGGAAAGAGAGGGGACCCCTCCGATGGGAAAGGCAGCTCTGAAGACTCTCTCCATCTTCCACATTCTCCAGTTCCAAGAAAGGAATGGGATGTTCTCTTCATGAGAAACTTGCTCCAAATACTGTCCTGTGAGCTCCACCAACCATCAAGGATTGGCCCATCTTTCTGTAACTATCACATCTGGGGTGACGCTTGTCTGTCCACCTGGGGATGCTGCCCAGCTCACCACTACCATCAAAACCCACTATCACCCATCGTCTACAGATAACTCATTACCTAAGCTTCTAGAATTGAAGGTGGGCACTCTTTAATAGTGGACAGAGAAAGGGATGGCGTCATGGAGAGAAGCTTTGTCCCAGTCCATGCCCCCGAAATTGGAATTAAACAGCCTGTGTGAAAAGGAAATATGCACTGCTCCTCTCACATAAAAACCAGAGGCAGAAATTCTAAGGGGAAAATGTGATGTATTTGACTCCTAAATACCAAAATACATTGCAAACAAAGTTAAATTGATACTGGAGGAAATATTCGCAACACATATCACAGAAGGAGTTTTCATACATCTGAAGTTCTTCCAAGTCAGTATTACATTTACATTAAATTTCAAGTCTAAAAATGGGCAAAAGTCCTGAACATGGAGGCCCATGCCAGTAGTCACAGCTACTGTGAAGGCTGAAGCAAGAGGATCCCTTGAGACCAGGAGTTACAGGCCAGCCTGGGCAATTTTGGCAGAGCCAGACTAAAAAAAAAGGGGGCAGGGGACAGAGGCAAATCAATAAAGCACAATTAAAAAAAAAAAAAACTATCCTTCCTACTAACAAAGAAGTGAATACAATTAAAAATGTCAATTACTGATAAAATGGGCAGTCATTAAAAATCAACTGTAGCCAGGGTTGGGGGGCTAGTGAGGTTCAGGCAGGAGGATCATGAGTTCAAAGCCAGCCTCAGCAAAAGTGAGGCTCTGAACAACTCGGTGAGACCCTGTCTCTAAATAAAATACAAAATAGAGCTGGGGATGTGGCTCAGTGGCTGAGTGAACCTGAGTTCAATTTCTGGTACCCCTGATATGAGTACCAGAAATATTATAAGATGATTGACTGTTGATTCTATTAATTAGTGTGTGTGTTGGATAAGACTATAAGTAATGTGCCCATAACGTAATGTGAACTGCAAAACTTGGCTATTAACTGCAGAACTAGACTTGTTAGTGATGTAGTCTACGCCCGGGGATACACCCCAGACCTCACTCAGTTATCAGCTACAAGCACAACTGAAGTAGGGTTTAAAAACCCAGACTTGGGAGGCGGGGGAGGGGGGCSATGGGACTAACAGGACCCGGACAGAGAGACCCGTCGCTGTYATCCCCCTTCACCAGACCTGGACTTAGACACGTCACAGGTGAGCATCTGGGACCCCTGGGTGCAGACTCAGTTATGACTTAGAATTAGGACGTGTCTGAAGTGTAACGAGCATCAATAAAATAGGTTTGATTGAATCTATCTTCGCCTCAGACTGAGTCACTAATAACCGCTTGTGACACGCCCCCCCCCAAAAAAAATCATCATTGGGTGATTTTAAATTTCTCCTTGTCCTTGCCTGTCCATATCTAAATTTTCTGCACCAAAATGCACCCTTCTGTGGTCAGACTRTCGAAACACCCATGCGTAGGAAAGAAGCTGTAAGGCCACTGCTCTCGGGTCACCCGCTTCCGCGGGCAAAGGCGTCCACACCGGCGGGAGCCTCGCGCTGAACCCAGGTTCCCACCCGGCGGCGAGCGGGAGAGGCCGCAGCGAGAGAACGGACGCCAGGCCCGCCAGCTCGCTCCCAGTCAGGCGGGACGCAGGGCCCGGGCGCCGCGCTGGGGCGGGGAGGCTGCCTGCGCCACCTCCCTGCTCACTGCGGGCCAAAAAGAACTCGCGAGCTCCGGCCGCCCGGCCCGCCACGCCCCTCCCCGCCGCGGCGTCGGCCGGCCCTAGTGCGCATGCGCGCGCCGGCCCGGTAGTCCCAGCGGGCACCGCGYGGTTTCCACGGCGACGCGCCGGCACCCCAGAGAGGCCGGGTTGGTGCAGCCGCTGGAGCCGCARGGAGCTGGCAACTGCCCGCCGCCGCAGCCTGTCGCCCGCCCGAGGCGCCTGCTGAGCTCTTCCCGGGTCCCTGTCGGGCTGGCCTCGAGCGCCGCTCCGCTGGTAACGTAGCCCGGCGCCGAAGTTTCCTTTTTGCCCAGCGCGGCGGGTGAGCGGCAGCCGCCCTGCCAGGGAAGAGCGACCAGCGCCGACAGCGCGAGTGCAGCCGCGGAGCGGCGGGGCCACTCAGGCAGTAGGTGGGGCACGGCCCCCCGGGAGCCTGGGCTGCTGGGCCCGACCCGCTGGCCTTCGCCCTCCTGTGCGCGCCCTCGCTTGCTGCGCCTCCCTTCCAACCTGGTCGCTGACGTTGCCCCAGGCTCCGCATCCTTTGAATAGTCCTCCCAGCCTCCGGGCTCTTTGTGCATAGGTTCCCTGGAGGCGTTGACGTTTCGTTGCCACAGTTATGCCAACAGTTAATTATTCCAGGAAGCTTCCCACGGGCTGACACGACCTTGAACCTGTTTTCTGTCTACACTCCCTAGATAACTGCATCCAGTCTCATGGGCTCTCCCTGTCAATGCCAGTGAGCCCCGAATGCCTACGTCCACCCTAGCCCTTCCCCTGAACGTGACACTGGTGCACCCAGCAGCCTACCACGACCCTAGGTAGGTGACTAAGGCATCCCAGAGGCTGTTACGTCCAAGACAACTCCTGATCACTCCCCAACCCTGCTCTTAAGCCAGCCCCTCAACCTGAAGAAACTCCATTCTTCAGGTTGCCCAAGCCTTGGTGCTTTCTATTCTGTCTGCACATCCTTCAAGATGTACCCAGAGGAGTCACAGTTCCACCATTTCCCCAACCCCCCACTGTCACCACCCTGATCCAGGCCACCATCATCTGGTGCTTGCATTATTTCAGTAACCTCGTAACTGTTTTCCTGGCTTCTGCCTTTCCCCACTTGAGCATAGGCAGTCATGTTAGTTTCCTTTTCTTGGTTATTTTATGAAAACAAGTTTTTGTTAAGGATTATATGAGTTTTTTACTTCCCATAGATAAAAAATAAATTCTTTAGTACACACTTAGAGAATTGCAGCTGTTTAGCCAGATAGACAAGACTAGATAAGAACCATACTGTTAATAAGCTGCAAATTGAAAGATGCCCTTTAGCTTTCTTAAAGGAATGAATATGAGTGTCCCTGGAACAGAACTTTAAAAAGCCCTGGTAAGACCTTTAAAATGGACTGCAGGGAAGAACAAAAGACCCCCCCAACCCTTCTTACAAGTGAGAAAAAGGAGCCATGTAGGATGGTATCAGGTATCAATTCTCTCCAATATAATCATCTCCATCTTTTTGCTGTGTTTACTCGCCCCCATCCCCATGCCCTCACACAGGGCTTTTAAATATGCAAGTCTCCTATCACAAAAGAAAGAGAAAAATCCTTTACCCCACATTTCCCTTCAATTTCCAGTTATTGTTTAATCCATTATACCCTTGGATAGGTCCACTATTTAAAGAGTTGCCATATTTCARTACATCTGTTCTGTATCTCTTTCCTCAACCCCTTCAATCTCAGTATGGCTTCCATCCTGTCCTTATGCAGAAAAAAAAAAAAAAAACTCTAATGAGAAATTTGCAGGCTCAGTCTCTGAGCAGCATTTGACACTGCTGCCCCACCTCACTCTTGAACACACTTCCTCTGGCCTCTGCAGTGCTTCTTTTCCCCTGCTCCTCTGCTCTTCTTGCTGCCATTCTGGCTCCCTCTCCTCTTCCAGGCTCCATAATATTGGAGTTCTTCGTAGCTCCATGTCTGTTCTCCCTTTTTCTCCCTGTTCCCCCTAGTCTTTGACACTAGTCATAAATCCATGCCTATGGCTTTACATGCTGGGTATGTACTTGGCACCCAGCTTTCTTCACAGTGTCCTCTYCTGAGCTAGACCAATATGTCCAGCTAGCTGAATGATATTGCTTCTTTTTTTAATTTTTTAATAGTTGTAGATGGACAGTATGCCTTTATTTGTTTAGTTTTTTATGTAGTGCTAAGGATCGAACCCAGTGCCTCACACATGCTAGGCCAGCGCTCTGCCACTGAGCCACAGCCCCAGCCTCCCATGAGATTGCTTCTTAATTCACTCATACACTTCCAGTTCAACAGCCATGAGACCAAACAGTGTCCCACCAAGCAGCCCTAACTGGAATCTCTTCCATTGTAAGTTGGGGTTCTTCCTTGGCCTTTCTCTTTACCCTGCCATCCAGTAAACCATGCAGTCCTGGTGATGTCCCCTGAGCATTTTTTTAAATATCTCTATTTATTTATTTATTTTTGTGTGGTGCTGAGGTTTGAACCCAGTGCCTCACGTGTGCTAGAAAAGCGCTCTGCCACTGAGCCCCAGCCCAGCGCTCTCCTGAAGGCGTCTTTCACATGCCTTCATCATAACCAGCACCTGAGTCCAACCCGCTCCCTTGTGTCAGCTTTCCATAACTAAAAAGTATGTAGAGAAAGGTTTACTTGAGCTCTCAGTTTTTGGAGGCTCTAGTTTATTGTTGGTTGACCTATTTGGGGGCCTGTGGCAAGGCAGCCTGTCCTGGCAGGGAATGCATGGTGGAGCACAGCCTCTTCCCTCCTAGCCAGAATCATAAAAGGGGAGGAGACCAGGGTCCAGCAGTCCCCTTCAGGGCACACCCCCAGTGACTTGAATCCTCCCGCAAGGCCCCACCTCTTACACTTTCCACCACCTCCAGTAACACAGGGGCTGCAGACCAAGCCTTGAACCSGGGAGCCTTTGGGACTAGCCTTCCGTCAGCCTGCTTCAGGCCCTGCTGTCTGGTCCCCACACCCTTCTGACTCCGTTCTGTTCTTCACACTCAGCCAGCCTCTTCCCGAGGCAGGACTGGTTATGCCAACCCTCCCAGCACTCCTCTAGTTCACTGCCAGCTTCCTTCACTCTCTAACATGTGGCCTTCCCATGGCCCTGCAGCCGCTCACCCCACCCACCTCTCCAGAGTCATCAGGACCCACTGGCCCTTCCACTGGACCTTAGCCACATGGGCTCCTGTACCCTTCAGGCCTTGGCACTGTTTTCTGTCTGCCTCTCATCTCCCTCCCTAGTTCCTGTCTCCCCTCAGAGCTTCCAGGGGGGCACTTGTCAGGATCCAGTCTGTTTGTTATACATCCTGACAGAACTGCATCTCCTCTAAAACAGAAGTCACTCCTGTCATTAGCTTACTGCCAACACACAAGTTCCTAAGAAACAGAAGCGTTGGTGTTTGTTTTCATCATGGATTCCCTGAACCTCACTGTTCCTGGCCCAGTGAGCACTCAAAGGTGTTGAAAGATGTGTAAGAAATATTAAATTTCTAGTATTTTAATATAATTTTATTGAAATAGATGAAAATTCTAGTTAAAAAAAATAGGTAAACATTGAAAATTTTTAAGTGTRGTCACAGGGGAGCTAAAAATAGGCCCTGGTAAAACCCACATTAAATTTTCCTTTGGGTGGAACAGTCCATTGCCTTTGTCACCACTTGGGGGAAGTAGAGAGGCACAGTCTCTCGTCCTAAAGGYGCAGCTTCAGGATGTCAATCTGGTGATGAATTCAGGATCTTTGTCAAAAATAAAATGTCTAAAATTATTAAGTGACCAAAACCCACACAACTAGTCTATAACCATCCAGTTGTTAAACATGATACATTTTCATATTGTCAGCTTGAAATTGCTGGTAGATCCAGGTTGGTTTCACTTGAGGATTTGAGTGCTAGACTGGGCCTTAGAGGTCCTGGGGCAGTCAGCTGATTTCTCACCTTAGCGACTTGAGGCCAGATAGCTTGTTTCACTGGTAGAGCTGGGAAGAGAATGCAGATCCCTTGTGTCACAAGCCTYATGCCTCCTGTCCTGACCAATAATTCCAAACTTCCTCTTTTGACTTCCAGAAATGACCAAGGTTCTGAAGCAAAAACTAGGACACATAAGCTTAGAAGTAGATAGTGTTTGACATGGTGTCCTTGAAAACTCTAAGGTGCTGATGGTCTTGCCTGCACAATACCGACCATAAGCTGAAGGAAGAGCTTTCTGTCCTTTCAACATTCTGCCTGACTGTGTTTCAGAGAGTGCACGTGAAGGAGTCCCGGTCTCCTTCTCTAGGAGAGCCCCAAACTCAGTTCTGGTTGATGTTGCCCCTGCCCAGACTCAGGCCTGCTCCTGGTGGGGAGGCCACAGAAATGTCAGTGCCCTTCTCAGTACCCAGAGACATGACCCACCCCTGCTGACACTGACCTTGATCACCTGTTTCCGCAGGTRTCTCCTGGTCTCCACAACATCACCTGTTTTCCCTCTGTATTTTACTAGTGTTGGGGGAAGAGGTGTTCTAATGTTGTGGCAAATCCTGCTCCTTGTCAGCTCACATTCACTGACCTTTAATATCCATTGGCAACTCCTGCCTGCATGAGTTTCCTCGGTGGAAGTTGTCAAGTAGTGATTCTCTTTCCACCACTCCTGCACACCCATCAGTTTTACTGTAGCTTAAGACAGAGCTTTCTCATTTATTCATTTAYGTCAGTGTGGACTCTGTTTTAATCAGTGAGCTGTAATCCTCTATCCTCTTTATTGGATGCTCAAACTGTCCTAGATTTGACTAGTGGGAATTTCAAGCTGCTCCTGTGTCCTTTTGACACACACAAAGCTTTATCTTGTACTTTGCCTGACCTAGGCTTGGAATCATCCAAGATGCCCCAATTTCTCCAAGGTGCCCTGATTCCTTGTGGAGAATGGAACCCAGCACTCATTGTTACTGAAGTGCCATTGCTTCAGAGAACAGAGTTGGGGGATATACACATTTTATAGATACTTATGCACATATGTCTATAAATATATATAACTATATATTCCYGTGTATAAATGTGTGTATATTATATACAATATAAAATATATATTAACTCAAAATTTTCAATTGTGATCAAATATCCCAGGGTTCTTTCCAGCCCTACCCCTTTCTACGTAAGCCTTTTGGGCAATAAGAAGCTTGTTTTCCATAATTCAGAATATGTCCACTTGTTTCCTRAGTTAACTTATTCTCTGTGTACTTCATTTCTTCACCTTGCCAGCTACTTGACCTCTTTTTGTCACCCCTCCCCCTTACTGCTTCTGCCCTGCCCACCCTGCTTTCTTTTTTTTAATATATTCTTAGTTGTCGATGGACCTTTATTTTATTCATTTATATGCAGTGCTGAGATCGAACTCAGGGCCTCAACGTGCTAGGCAAGCGCTCTAACACTGAGCCACAACTCCAGCCCCACATCCTGCTTTCTGAGACTCCAGGTGCCCTTCCACCATTGCCTCTTCACAGGGGCCTTCTCCTTGCATTTTTTTTAACTATCCATCTTGAGTGTGTATAAGAGAGTCGGATGTTATCTTTTGCTAGTTTCCCAAGTAAACAATCCCATCAACTTCCTGGAGTTGAACACATTTTTTTTCCTGGATATAGTACAGATGCAGTAGAGCAAGAGAAATTCTAGAAGCATTAAGATACTGTACCAAGCCAGGGCACAGTGGCACATGCCTGTAATCYCAGTGACTCAGGAAGCTGAGGCAGGAGGATCATCAATTTAGCAAGACCCTAAGCAACTTTAGTGAGACTCTGTCTCAAAAAGTAAAAAATAAAAAGGGGTAGG